ATTATCCACGTATCATCTGGAGTGATAATTTATTCGTGTATATATATATATAATGTTTATAAAAACAAACTTGTAAAATATTGATTAGCTATAATTATTCGATTATTTGAAAAAATATGCTGGCGCATTCTGCATAGATTATCTTTGTTTTGACAATAACAGCCGCAGTAATTTTGATCTTTTTTTTTTTCCGAATTGTAAACCGGATGCGGTAGAAAAAAAGTGCATGAGAAAAAGTTGCATGTAACGTGCTCTCTGTGGAAATTGGTAGGAAATAAAAATGTCTGCGCAGCGAAAGTTTTTCGACGTGTAATAATAAAGAGACGCGTGTAATTGTGGCAAGATGTTAATGCATGGTTTGATTCGTGTATTTATGCTCCACGGGAACCACGGCATTGTCTTGCAGTTGCACATTTCTCAGAGAAATTTCTCTAAGACGCTTGTAACCATAGTGTTATATTTACAAAGCAGACAGTTACGATTAATTGCTAGCAAAATGCTATCGTTTAACTTTACATTATCTTCTTCCTCCTTGCATTTAATTGATTTAAAAGTACTTTTCCTCTTAAAAATACCATCTTTGATATGTACGTGTATATCTTTAATCTGCTTGTTCAAATATTTTCATAATGTAAAAATATTAAATAATTACAGTAAAGCAAGAATAAATAAAATTATTCCAAGAAGGCGATTAACAAGATAATATTTTAATTTATATTTAAAAAAATTAAGAAAAAGTTAATATTAATATTTAAAATACTAGCTAAATCACCAATTCTATTTCGCGCGCGATAGGATTTATATTAGATAAGTTAGTTTCAAATCTGATTGAAAAGAGAGAAGGGAAAATAATATAATTATTTGTTATCAAGCTTTTTCATACTTGAAACGCGGAAAGATTTTACTGATCACAACAACCAGCGATGGAAATCACGTTGCATAGCGTAATGTGCCACATTTTACGCTCCTTGAGCTCTTGCTGCATGTCCTTAACGACGTTTTTGTCGCTATTGCCTATGTATTTTCATGCGCGGGTGCAATCGGCATTGCCGGATCGTTGATTTGTCAATCGTTGAAATCGACTTATAAAATCGATTCATTCTATATGTATCATATAGTGTAGGACGTTTCTTGCGCGAGCTCAGCAATTTGCTGTGTACTCATAGCCCTTGAGAAGCTGTGGGTGTTAACATCGCGTGTATCGCTCAATTACCGTAATCATTCAGAGAGATTGAAATCTGATTGATTTTCTAAAACAATTAATACTCAGAAATTAAAAAATACAAAATTCCGAGAAATCGTGATATGTAACAAGCGTTAATTAAAACGGATGATTCTAGTTTTTCGAAACTGTTATATATATCGCATACGTATTTCGAGGGAATAATCAACCTTACTCAACAAAAACGAAGCTTTTTGCGAAATTTAATTAGAAGTCTTTCGTATTGCGTGTCTCTTGCATTAATTCCCCACGCTCGGAGTTTCATCCGTGGTCGACGTTTGCGGGAACTTTTTTGTAATTTTGGGTGAAAATGTAAAGGAAAGGAGAGCAAGAAATTCCTGCTTACACCGTGACGACACGGGCCGGGTCTGGGGATCTTCGTTATTATTTCAGCGAAACGAAGCGTATACTCCGTACACGCTCGAGTTGGCTCGTGTGCGAGTTGTTAACTTCTTCATGCCGACTATATCCAATTTGTTGCATGCAGCAGCGTCTTCATTCGCTTTTCACAGTAAATATCATTGCAACAAGAGGACAGGCAGCACACGGCACGTCGTTACATAAATTTCCATGCGATACCCGCGGCTTTTAAGGAAGTAAAAAACGATCGTTGTACTTTCATTATGAACGTTAATGACGGATGATTTCAACTTCACGCGCCTGTCGGTTGCAAATATAATTTTACATGTTTCATCTCAATCATAAATTATAATTCAGAGATCAAACATATAAAATTATATTTGCGATCGTTAGGCGTGCGAAGTTGAAATCATACATAATTTATGCGCGCAATTATTCTTCTACTGTGCAAAAAATTGTACATATTAGAAATATTTTATATATATTTATATAAGCAATACGGAGGTTCAAATTATATTTAGAAAGCTTAAGTAAATGAAAATATTTTGATTTGATACTTTCTTTTTTGTCATAGATTTCTGATTCTCTTTTGAAAGGAAAGTTTTAGTACAACTTTCATATTATTTGTGAAGATGTTTTAATCGATTTCTTTGATCTATTCTTAATAGCAATTACAGGACAGTAGACGCACTGCTACCGAGTAACGTTATCCCTGAGATACCTGGCTAGTTTTAACGTCGCGATGCGTGACGGACGCCGGTATATGTCCATTCTGTAAAGGCTGTGCGGGTAAATCGTTATTATTTGTTTGAGCCGGCTTGAAATAACTTTAACAGACGGATTTCTCTTTATCGTAAGAAATCGGCATCCATAACTAAAACAATGTTCGGTCTGACGTAACGCCGAAGAATCGGATTATAGATTGCCGTAACGTTCCCTCGTAAGAATTAGGTGAATTAAAATCCGTTCGAAGAATGATCGCTGTCGAAATCAAAAACATGATCGTACGATTTCTATATTTGATACTTGAGAAAAGTTGTGTTTTATACATGCTGTAGTGCAAAGGGCCGGTACGAGAAATTAAGCGTAATTGCTTCGATTATATAGATATACGCTCCGCGTGATTGCTATTTATATTTTCGATTAGTCATCGATGAGAGAAAAAAGATGCGTGAGAAACGAACGTTGCGTAGGTCTCTTTTGCGTTACGAAGACGAGCTGTGTGAGTATCCTTTTTTTTTTTTCTGCAGTGTCGCGCGATAAATGTCTAACGTAAACCCGTTCTAAGCCCGACTCGCGCCTGTGAACGCGTGACTTTGAGATACTCTAGGGACTTAAGTCGAGACCATGACGTGCAACTGCATCGCGAATACGGCAATCGGGCCAAGTCCAAAATGTCTTTTTTTTCGCGAACGAGTCCGTTACGATCTTTTAGATTAAAAATGCTAATACTTTATAAAATATGTACATACGTAATAGCTTTCCTTTAAAAAAACGAAGATGACTTTAAACTCGGTTTGAAACTTCCGCTTTTTATTTAAAGATTAAAAATATTTCTGTTCTATGTTGTGTTATTTAACGTGTCAATTGTTAATTAATTACTTATCACAGATGAAATTAATACGTACAGTACTTCTTCATCAAACTTTAGCGGCTCGCTTTCTTGATTGTCAGCAAAAACGCGTGGCGTTTTCAATCATTTCGACAACTTAAATCGATTAAATCATAGACATAATATCGCTAATAGAACGACGCAGGGTGGATATGATTGTTCCGTTAGAATACTGTTATCGAGCGTGTTCTCCAGGAAATCTTTTTTTCTAAAACTTGAACGTTCGAATTATTACGTAAAATAATGGTAGCTAAAATGCAGCGCAACGTTCCATAGGATGATCAGTCTAATATTCATGGAGAGTCTAAGCGGCTGGATGAATGACTGTTCCATATTACGATGTACCGTTCATAAATTTCTCGACGGATTGAATGTGTTTTAAAATATTCAATACATATACGCGTAAAATTTCTCATCAAACGCCATCCTCCATTGGCCGAATAAATAAACGCAAAAGATGCAAAAGAAGCACGTGTGTCATTATCTTCCAGTAATTTCGAGATAATGATCAGGAAAATTATTTTATATATTCAAAGAGATAAAAATCATATGTACGTAAAATATTTAAAAATATATTTAATTGTAAGAGAGAAATAATGTTCAAGTAGGTAACAATTTTATCGATAGAAAATTATAAATACAAAGTCGTTAGCTTATCGATCGATGGTCAGTAATAATTTTCCTACTTTATCGACGTATGTTATAAAAACTTTAACACTGCTTTTTATCTTACGTAGAGGCCTTCTTTAAATTTTACATTAATAAATACACTACATATTATATAAATTACTAATAATTTATATTTATATTACATGTTCATAGAACATGGCAATTTTTTATTAAAAAAATAATATATAGGGTAGAACAAAGCTTTTTCATTTCTCACGATAATTTTTCCAAACAGCACATATTAAATATTTGAAAGTTGTGCTTGTCTTCCCAAGAAGCAATCATGATTGTATATGCGTTGTAAGTACGTCACAAAGAGATATTGTTTGTCATTATAAATTTTCATATTATTTTAAACCTGGAATTGACAGAATAGTCCCGTCCTACCCTATATAAACACAAAATACGCGCGAAATATGTCAGAGTACAGTAATTAAACCGATGTACAAACGATTTATAAATTTGCAATGTCAGAATATGGAAGGCACAAAAAATCTTCCATAGATGTTTCATGCATAAAATACTTTCAAATATCTTTTCTTTTGTTTATGTCTCAAGCTGTAAAAGTCTTTTCGCAATTTAAAAAAAAAAACTATTTTTTATCATTATCTGCAACTCTATAATTATCACTTTCAATATATTAAAATAATAGAAGACATAATGCCTCTTATATTAAAAATAATACATAAAAATACAGAGTCGTGTTATAAAATAGTAAATAGAGGAATTCGATTTAGATGTGACGTGTCCAGCACGTTGCGCGATACAAAATTAACACAGTCGTCTCACGAACATATATAACTTGCATATATAACTTTCAAAGAAGACAGTTATTAGCGAGATTATATTCTCAGAAAAATTTGTAACTAGCTGTTTTTTAAATATAGACTCTAGCTTTTTTTCTTTACGTTTCTTTGCAAGTAATTACTTGTCCCATTACTTTTAGATTCATTCAAAATTTGTACGCGAAATTTGAGTATAAATTTCCAAATATATTAGGTGTTGGAATTAATTCGTAGCGTTTTTCAAGTGATGGGAAGTACTTTCATTAATGTATTTTTTAATGCTCATGTGAAATAAATAACATTCTTTCATTAAAAAACGCTACGAATTAATTCCAACACCTAATATAAAAATCCAAACTAGGAATAAAATCAACTAGTTTGCATTTTTATATATTCGGAAATTTATCGAATTGCATATTTCTAAAAAGATAAGTTTCCGTTTCTTTCATTCGTTATCATACGGATGTGTAATCAAAGTTGTAAAATACAATATCGTACAACTGTACGATCCAATTGATTACATTTTTACACAACGCAAGCTTTTGGACGGAATTCGCGCGCTAAACTGGAAAGAGTTTTCCCTGGATCGCTCGTTAATTTCTTCTGCGGGAACAGCCGATTCCGCGTCCTCGTCGAGGTCGATGTCGAAGTTGTTATTTCCCATCAACGTCACCAAGCACATGTTCTCTTCCTTTATTCGCGAACGTACTAACATTTCCAGCGTGAAGAGGTGCTCGTCGTTCGCCTCCGGCAAGTAACGGTGCATGAACTCCGCCAAGCTGTCACATCGATCAGACAAATACTTATCGTCTTATTATATAAATTATAACGTTATCAACACATCAAGTAACAGATAATGATGAACTTAGAAAACATATCTCGCATTGTGTATCTCTTACCGTAAAAGATATTCGACGTTATGTCCACTTGGACCGGAACATTCAGTGATTTGACGCGCTACAGTCTGCAACGATGCCTCGCCGAGCCATTGTTTGTTCTTGTTGGTGGCAATGTAAATTATCACGGGGAATTGCAAATCCCCGTGCTGGCTGTAAAATGTCGCGATAGTTGTCAGGTCGTATCCTCCTAAGGTACATTCGCGGTTTTCTAAGTAGGAAAAGTTATCCACATTGCAACTATTCTGAAGTTGGAACGCTCGTCCATAAACTACAGCCTGCAAGTGAATAAAAAATCTATATTGCATATGATATACTCATCGAGTCGATAATTTTTATATTGCATATTATATTGCATATTATAATTAAATTAAGTACCTCTTTGTCCTCGATTAAAGTAACGACTCGCCCAGGCTGCAACATAAAAGAAGCCGATGCAACAATCGTCTTATTGAGAGATTAAGATATGAGAGAAATTATTTAGAAAGAGAGAGAGAGAGAGAATGTTTTAATTAATTTCTCTGGAAACAGGTACTGATTATATATTTTTATCCAGCTTTATTACAGAATTATATTATTACATTATATATGCATATATATATATATATATATATATGTATATATACATACATACATATATACATACATAATATATCTAATACAGACTTGTTTGTAAGCAGAAAGTACATATCGCATTGTTGCGAAATGCGAAAAGAATAATCCAAGACGCGGAACTTATCTTTCATTGAGGATATCAGTTACTACCAGTTTATAACTGGTTGTATATACAATTTCACGTAATTTATACGTAAGTGTAATACAAAACGCATTACCACAACATTTATTTATTCTCTCCTTCCAAGAAAAGAAAACATGACTTTTAGATATTTTATACGGAATAAAAGAGTCTCCATATTTTTTTACTATAAATTGTAACATAAAAATTCTTGTTGAAATCGTGGGTGCTAGCTTTTAAAGATACGTATTCTGTCGTGCGGGCTATTTTTTTATTATATAATACAATTTTTCAACAAATCTCCGTATATTGTTTTGATATATCTGTAATGGATGTTGTCCACAATAAGTGTTTTCATGTTATAGTTTGTATAGTAAAATAAAAAATCAATGTTAAACTTTCAAAATATTTTTTTAATCTATGACAAAAGAAAGATGAGCAGTGACAATTTTAGTGAGATAGTCGAAGAAAAAACAATCACGCTTTCTCGACTTAGATTAGGTCTATTTTTTATTCCTATACTCCTTAAACTAGTGCAACAAATATATGTTTGTTTCACTTCAACTATTGCACTGCGTGTGCGCCAATTCAAAGAGCAGCAATAAAAAACAGACCTATAGTCCATGCAAAGCTGACCGAGGGTCGCTGTAGGTAAAAATAAAATTTTCGTTTATAATATATTTAATTATATTTATTTCTAAATCATTAATTTTAAATAGCTATATTTACATATTATAGTAATAATTTTACAAATATCAAAAGTAACATTCTTTTATTATTTTTTTAATTCAAAATGAATGAATAAAGAAAAGATGAAACATGAACGAAACAAAGGAGGAAGTGTGAAAGCGCGCGGGTTTCCTTATGCGTGTTAAAACAAAGAGAGAGTCAAAATGAATTTCGAGTATGCTATGTTTACTTCGTGCACGTTACGTTCACATGGTGTCCTCCAAATCTCGATCTATCCAGTGCAATTTTATCAAAATCACATACGTCAATAGTCTCTTATCAAATCGAGACAATGACGCATAAATTATCAATGCCGCCGAAAATGTATTGTACATTTGGAATTGGGCCAAAACCAAAAAAAGAATATGTGACATATTTCGACGAGCGCAATAAAATTTAGATATTAATAGAATTCTCACAAATGATTCAAAATAAAAATCACGTGCATAATGTATGAAACATATTTTTATACGCAAAAATATATATTAAATATTGCGAATATATCGTTCGAAATGACTGAATGCAACATTAACGATAAGTTAAAAACTTTTAAACGAAAGAATGTAATCGTCGATTTTATTCATCTACGATTTAAGGTTTCATTAATTCATATTATTAATTTTTTTTTAGCCAAGTTTGATCAACTTAGCTTCCTATAGATAAGAAAATATCATTCCTATAGATAAGAAAACGTAACTTATTATATTTTTTGAATATGTTACAATTCTATTTCTTTTTTTTATATATAAATTGCTGTGTATAAGAGCGCTTATACATTTTACATATAATATATACACATATGTATACTTTGATGTAACATATTATATATTGGAAATAATTCATATTTCCAATTTGTAAATATTATAGCGACGCAATAGCGAATGCAGGACATGTTCTTTTTTCTCTGATTAAGAGCATAATTAATTACAAATTCCTATTCGTAGTCGTGAGATTTTATTTGCTATTTTATCATATCGATAAGGTCGTTGCCACGAACGTTTGCTTTATTCGAAGTCCATACGGCTGCTCCGATCTTTATTATCACGTGAACTGAAGATATGCTTTGTTGCATCAATACACGAGAAGCTGCCACATAAAATAGTATAAGTAATAGTAAAATACTAGAGATATGTTTTAAAGTTCTAATAGTTTTTAGATTCGTACTAAAAAAATCTCTTAATATTTGCTTTTCAATATTTATATTGAATATATGACGTAAATATATGACGTAAATATCATATGTATTATATAACAATATAACGAATGTATCAACTTTCGTAACTCTTACTAAGGTCTTAGTTTTTATACGGATATGAATAATAATTAAGACAAAATGCTATTTACAAAATATAATTACAAGAAAATTAAATCTTATTTGAATATGCGATAACATATTGCAATGATTTATGTTTCTATATTCATGAAAAAAACATCGACTAATAATCAAACATCACTTGCAAGTTTATGAGTAGACGTAAGCACTTACGTCTTCATCTCTGCTATCATCCTTGTAAAGATTAATGTGCAGAAATATATTTCTTCACAAGAAATGTATGTGTGACTGTTTCTTCACCTTCTTGTGAACGTATACATATATTAATATGTGAAAACATAAATAATCGTAATATGTATTGTATAATATTACCTAATTTTTTTATAACTAGCATTTATATAATTATTAATCTTAATTATTATTTAAATATATGTAAAGTTTAAAATCTCAATAAGTGTTGATTCAAATGCGTCTCAAAAAAGTGCATTTTAATTATTTTCATCAAGATAATGTTTGTGACATTTTTTTGGAATAAATTTATTATTTCGATTATTCATTAAATAAGAAATTACGTTATTTGGTGGTCGTCACGGTTACAAATTTCATTGTTAGAAAAGAAAAAATCAAAAGAAAAATCAAATAAAAGATATGCAAAAGTTTAAACGTAATATCATCTTGAAGAATAATTTATTTCTTTTAATTTATCTCCATAGAATACACAGATTTCTGAATATGGAACCGATTTATGCTAAAAAAGATACTTAACAATCTGTGTGGATTATGTTTATTTTACAAATAATTTTTTAAATATTTTTTTCTCAGTATAGTCATTGGTAATGAAAGTGATAATTAAAGACGAATAAAGAAAAAGATCGAAGGACAGATTGGCTCACCTTTTCTGCCGTTCCACGATGCGTGGTATTGCCTTGCCAGAATCGCCTGCTGAAGCCCTTCACGTAGCCGGTCTTGCTTTTCGTGTACGCGAAACCAGGATGCCAGCAAAGCGATCCATATCCGAATACCCAGAGCTCGTTTCCTTCCGTACGATTCATCTCTGTTCTCTCTTGTGAAAAAGAAAGTGAGCTGATGACCGAGCTGTGTTTCTTCCTTACTTCTTCCTTTATCTTTTTCTCTTTTTATTTTTTTCTTGTCTCGTTTCTGATAATATTGAAGTTCCAGAATGCGCTTTTAAATTAAAAACTTATTGTCCCACAATATGTTTTAACATCTGCCGTTTTAACATAAAAAGAATTATCGTACTTTGTGATTATATCCTTTTACTACAAAATAATTATACAAATTTTCTTGTAAATACTATCATTAAAATTAAAAATCATTTATTCAATCACCTCTGAATTGTTAATCAATTTCTTTTAAAATTCTCGGAGATTGAGTCTCTTCATATAAAATTTATTTAAATTCGAATGCTCTTATGTGTTTTCTTTTCTAGTATACAATAAATTTTTTCTAAAGTTCTATTCCAGTCGCAGAAAATTGCTGATATATATATATATATATATATATTCCGCTCTTCGCGGAATCTTTGGCGGCAACTCCAAATAATCGAATTAATAACAATTTAAGTTTCACTTTAAACAAGTTTCTTTAAATGATCAATCCTCAACACTAAATTAATCCTCATCGCGCTGATGCATGCGTTTGCGTCTCTGAATCCCTCGCGGATAACTCGTGGTGATTTCAATTTATTAATTCGCAAGACGTTTCAGCTAACCGGATATCATAACGATGAGATGCTCCTCTTTCGCGTCATCCTGATTGTCCACGTATTTACTCTATAATGATGAGCTGAATCCTCAAAATCGATTTTGGATCAAGTCAGTCCAAGTCGGTCGGGGAAATCCGTTCCGAGAAGATCGATGTTTCAACAACTGTCCCGTGATCTCGACTAAATGTACGTTCAAGTATTTCTCAGACATTTGGAGGATCTCAAAGGAAAGGCGAATCACTTGGTGAAGGTCCGATGAGAACTGCCGGCTGACTATAGTAACTGACTGTAGCCGTGGTAGCCGGTTAGTATTTGGCGAACTAGACCAGATGCGCGCTGACAGGAGGAAGAAGGAAAGATATCAAGAGAGAGTACAGCGCGAATTGAGCAAGACAGAGAAAAGTAGTGGAGTACACGCCAGTGTGCGTGAGCATTCAGTTGAGCGAATTAATCTGAAGACGTGTCGATTCATATTACCAAAGTATCTGGTAGAGACAATTGGTTCATTGCACGTGTTTAAATGTTTGAAATACAAGAAGGTTACGCGCGACCCAGAACGTGAAGGATTTCAAAAACAAATTTCGTCAATTGTCTAATTATCTTATCCGATCGCAGAGCAAAAATCTAAATGTTGGTTTATAGAATAAAATATTCTGGTGATTTGTTTGATGTAATATATAAATAGTTTTATTTGTCAGTTAGAACCTATGCACATTCCTTCAAATTATTTAAAACCATAAGATCTATGTTAGAAGTACAAAACAAGATTCCGTTTATTTAAAAGAAAGATTATGATACAAATTCGTTATCTCTCTTGAGGTGTGTCAGATTCGGAAAATACTTTGTCTAGAAGTTCGTAACATATATCAATCTCGTCCTGATTTTCCATAGGTTTTAATTCCGTCAATAATTGCTCCAAAGTGGATTTTAAACACAATTGTGATCGACGACATTCCTTTAATGCCGGTAAAAAGTTATCGTTTACCATACTACTGAGCACTCTCAATAATTGTTCCCTACAATAAAAGAATACTGGATTTATATCTTAGGAAAATATTAAAAATGTGTATGTCCCTTGAAAAGCCAAATAAGTTACCTGACTGTCGGCTGTAAATTCATTCTACTCAATAATCCTGCTGCTTGCTCTATGAATCCCATTTTTACTAAGGTATATTTTATATCATTCGAATTATTTCTACTGCATAAACTAGAAAGTAAGAATGCGGATTTTATCTGTAGTTTCTCCACTGAGCTCTGCATTGCCCGTAATAGCACCGAGTAACCGTCGTTCATATCTATATACTTTAATGACGTTGGGTGTCCTCTTACTATACCTATATTCAAAATAATCAATGAGATATAAAAAACTGAGCTTTATGTCATACCATTACTTACATGACACTGCATACAGAGCTTTTATCCTGGCCTGTTCCGATGGATCTGTATCAATCATAGATAATAACACAGGAAATACTCCGGCTTCTAATAATTTATCTTGACAAAACGGATTATTTTGCGCTAATTCGGCGATAATATCAGCTATTCGCCATCTAATATTACTGTGCGAGGAATTCAAGCATGGTTGAAATATCGAGAAACCCCCAATCTTATAAAAGTCATTGGCTATATCGATATTATCTACAAAATCTGCCATCCTTTCCAATACATTCTCATACTCCGATGAATCATCATCTGCTCGCAGATTGTTAACATTGGACAAAATTTGTACAGCTTTCTGCAATTCCTCTATTACGTTCATTGTTAACGATGATAATGCCTCATTCAAAAATGTTTTTTTCTACAAAATATAAGTGTATCTCATCAAATGTAGACAATAGACAAACAAATAGCACATATTTTAAATTAAATTTCGTACTTCTTCGTCCAAAGGATAAACTTGCGGTTTATTCTCCAGGTTCTCAGACTGTGCTGCATCCATAGCATATTTGAGTAATCCTTGCAAATTAGTTGGTTGCCTCGGTTGATTTGGTAACGGTTGTGGTGGAATTTGCTCGGCATTATTAGAGGTTGAGGGACCTTCGATGGAAAGCGGTCGCGCATTGCTGTTTGACTGACCTTGCTTGACTTGCTCTTTTTTTGGTTCTTTGTTCTCAGGACTGATACAAAAGATATTTGTTTAAGTAAAACGCTGATAATTGAGTTTAGGTTAATTACGTATTAAAAATAATATGTACATACTTGCTCATTTTAACGCTAGTCTGTTTAACGAATAATGTGCCCATTAATTGAAAACACTGTTTAGAACTACCCTCTTCGCGAACAATCCTCGACTACTTATTCTGATTCATCGCATGTCTTTTTATGGGATTTTATATTTCTGTATCCAGGAATTTCACCAATATACGAGATGTCGCTGGATGTCTGTTCTGTGCTGGTCTGCTGGATGTTGCATTACAATTACATGCAAATGTTATTTATATTCGGGCAGAGAGAAATAAACCCATAGAAATCTAGAATTGAATGGACATGCTCACGTTTTTTTTATATTATTTCCCTTCGGGTAATGCAGAAATCATTTGAAATACCTTCAATCTTTCCTCTTTGATCTTTTGGCACAAGACGTGTTCCATTTAGCTTTTAGGTTAGGTAGCTCCCACAAAGTTTCATCTATTAACACCTCTAGATGCATAAAATGAATTACATAGCCATATCCATGAACATTTTGATGGATAACATGTTTTATGTCCATGATCTTTTGGTTCTATTTCGTACTATGACCACGATTTTTGCAAGACATACAATTTGTATATATTTTTTTAAAGCAACAATGTATTTTTTTACATTAATTGATTTATCTTATTATCCAGTATATATTATTTTAAAAGTTATCAAAAAATTAATAATTTGTAAGATATTTTATATATGTTCCATTCAAATTAATAAAAAGAAATGGATATTTTTTTCTTATTAAAAATAAATGCATATTATTATTCAAACATTAAAACACAAATTGATATATGACATGATTTTTATTATATTAAACTTATTTTTTACATTCTTACAAAATATTAGCAATGATACAGTAATATAGTAAAGGATGTATGTATCCGTGTCATCAAATATTTGTAATTACGAAATTAAGAAGACCTATTTTAAGAGACCTATGTCCTCTTTTTATTTTTAATTTATTTATCTTTTTGTTATAGAACTAGAAAAAGATAAAAAGTAAGTTAAACTGAGATTGAAGTTAATCACTAGTAGATAGAGGCATTATTCGTACAATAATGCATCGTTTTTAATGAGACAGAACTATAAATCTATATTTTAACTATTATATATATATATATATATATATATGGACATGAATTTTTCCTTTTTTGATAATATATATTTTTTTATGTGTACTGATATTGATTCCTGATGAAAAACTTGCACGAAAATACAATTACCTATTATTAATCATACTGATGTGATGTAAAGTAAACACATCAAATTGTACAATTTATTCAATTAAACGAAATAATGTGGTTTCTTCACTATTATGCCATATTCTGCAACTGCTGGCGTCAGATCTTCCATAGTCAGAGTATAACGTCGGTCTTTTCCTTTTGTTTTTGTATTCTGATTGGCACCACGTGTTTTACAGTGTTGCAGCGCATCGTTGGCAATTTCTGAGATAAACTTTTGTGCTGCTAATGACACCAGGCGTACTCTAAAATAATAAGAAGTCATATAACATGTAACATTATTTGATTGATTTACTAAATAAATATTACATGTTTAGTCAACGAAACTTTTCTAACTAACTACAGAATGATTTAAACACAATATTGTGATTGTACTTACATCCTAGGATCTATAGCGTTGAAACCAGCCGTGTGCAAGTAATGTTCAGTAATGGCATCAGGTACCTAATGTTAACATTGTAAAATAACAAACATAATTAATTGCTAAAGTACAAATTAATTTTTTTTAGAAAAATTTATATTATAAAGAAGATAGATAGATACCGTAGGTGTATAATCCTCTAATTGCATCAAGAAATCTGATAACGGTTGTCCCGCAGTCTTTGTCTCCTCGTTATAAATCGGTGAGGTTTCCTTTCCGAAATTCTCTGCCATTTTTTTGTGTAACGTAAAATAAAACTATGCTCTGAATTGTGCTATGAATTTCTAACCTAAATTAACGTGAAAACGAATTGTTTTACTATTCTGTAATTTTCCTTTCTTAATACTTAGCGATTTCTATCTTTTTTTTTTATAAATGTTTTCTCTTGAGAGCAGTAACACTTTTTAATGTGCTAATACGCGAATTTCTTTAGACTTACAAGCACTTACAAGCAGTTCGAAGTTTGGAGTGTTTAGATGCGTAAAAATATACATACATACGTACGTAAAAGTTACATACATACGTATGTACGTACATATATTTAAGCATTCAATACACTAAGTCTGTTCTTTTTTGAAGAATTCTGAATTAGTTTTGAAGTACATTCCAAACCAAAACGTCCTCTCCGAGAAGAATTTACTTCTTGAACTAGTGCAATAAGTTAGAATAAAACTAATTGTAACTGTCCCTTCTGTCTGTTTATAACTTTAACTTGTTCTGAACATCAGTTCAGAACTTAAAATGGAAAAAGAACAGATCTACTGTGTACATACGCGTGCATAACCTAACCTAATCCCGGTTGGAGCATTGTGTTTTAAATCAATGACACTAACAAACTGTAAAAAATGTGACTGTAATAATACAAAAATAAGTTTACAAACATCATAAATGACCATTTAATTCAAAATATTGTAGGATAATTATTATTTAATACGTAAGCTAACAACAGAATTGAGAATGAAAACATAACTCGATTCGTGTCAAATTGCACAACTTATTTTCTTTGTATTATAACAGAAATTTATGTAAGTTAATAAGTATATATATTATTCTGCTTTTAAAAATTATGGTGATTATTGTTATGGCTAGAGAGTGACTTATATATAACTATAATTCTTAATATATAACAATTATATTTTTAAGGATGGCATCCGAGGATGTCAATTCTCATACGATATTAAATGCTTCGGAAGAGACTGCACAGTCTGTTACCAGTATATCACAGGAAAGTAATAATAAGAATGTAAATTCAAGTAAGCCACAGACTCAAGGAAATCCAATGAGTAATCTCCAAAGGATACAACAACGCAAGCAGCAGACATACAACTGGCCACAAGAAAAGAAATTGTTAAAGCTTGCAAATTACAGTGCTTGTCAAACACAGGATTGTAAATGTACAGGCTGGAAAAATGCACAGTCAATTATAAAATCACCAAAAGGAGAAATACAACAGCCTCTCATCAGTTTTTCAGATTCATGTAAGATGTGTATTCATCCTTTGGAAAACCACATCAAACATTTATCAGTTCAATCTGATGATGAAATTAATAGATTACTGCGAATGGCTATAGACGCAGATAATATTTTAACATGTTCACATAGGGAAATAGATCCCGATACCAAGAAGGTTTATTTTTATTTATATAAATTATTAAGGAATTGTATCTTGTCTATGACAAAGCCAATCGTGGAAGGCCCGTTAGGGCAACCACCCTTTGAAAGACCTAATATAGCGAAAGCAGTAATGAACTTTGTTTTATATAAATTTAGTCATTTACCACCGGCAGATTGGCAAATTATGTGTGATACGGCAAAGATGTTTTTACATTGCCTGAATTTCTGGAATTTTGAAGCGCCCAGTGCCAGACAAGCAACAATTAATGCAGATGAAGCTCCTGCTTACAAAATTAATTATACCCGCTGGCTAGTTTTTTGCCACGTTCCTGCATTTTGTGACTCTTTACCACATCATGATACTCCTTTAGTTTTTGGAAAAACTCTATTGCAAGCCGTATTCAAACGACTATGTAGAGATTTAATGAATAAGTGTCATAATGAAAGAGACAAAATAACACCAGAGAAGAGAATTATAGTTTTAACTCATCTTCCTAAGTATGTATTAAGTTTTTTCCCCTTATATTCATTTTTAATTATAACAAAAATTACATGATTCTTTGTATTTAAGGTTTCTTTCAGCTCTAGAAGCTGAGATTTATTCTGATAGTTCACCTATGTGGGATCCTGAATTTAAACAAGCACCACCATCTCATGCGCAAGCTGCCTTAGAATCAAAAGCACAACAAAGAAAGACAGGAGAATTTGAAAAAGTCATTATTACACCGAACGAGAAAGATAATTATACAACGATAAATATTAGCCCTGGGATAAGAAGGCTTTCTGAAAAACGTTTTTATTTCGAAGGACGATCCGATGCAAAGAAACGGAAAAATGAAGAAGTTTTTGAAGATTTGCCAGATGAAACTGTTGCTGAAATTGTTGCAACCATTAATGATCCCAATTATATGTATGGGCCTGATGCAGTATTTCCTCCGGATGTTCCACGAGACGAGACTGCTAAAATTGAAGAAAGTAGAAAGATCATAGAGTTCCATGTTGTTGGAAATAGTTTGACACAGCCAGTATCTAAGCAAACTATGCTTTGGTTAATAGGATTGCATAATGTATTCAGTCATCAATTAGTTAGAATGCCCAAAGAATATATATCTCAATTTGTTTTTGATCCGTGAGTATTATTCAAAAATAATATATTAATTTATTGTAAAAATTTATTTAGTAATAATCTATTCCATATCACACAGGAAACATAAAACATTAGCCCTGATAAAAAGTGGTCGTCCAATCGGTGGTATTTGTTTTCGCATGTTTCCTACTCAGGGTTTTACTGAGATTGTATTTTGTGCTGTTACGAGCCAAGAGCAAGTAAAAGGCTACGGAACACATTTAATGAATATGCTAAAAGATTATCACATCAAAAATAATATACTACATTTTCTTACGTTTGCGGATGAGTTTGCTATTGGATATTTTAAAAAGCAAGGATTTAGCAAAGATATAAAACTGCCGAAGCCGATGTATCATGGATATATCAAAGATTATGAAGGAGCGACATTGATGCACTGTGAATTGAATGCTAAAATAGTATATACTGAATTTACAGCAGTATTAAGGAAACAAAAAGAAATAGTTAAAAAATTAATTTATCAAAGACAACAGGATATACAAAAGATTCATCCAGGCTTAACATGCTTCAAAGATGGTGTAAAAAGTATTCCTGTCGAATCCATTCCAGGAATTCGTGAAACCGGATGGAAGAATTACGCTCAGACAAGAACAAGAGGTGTGGTCAAAGGAACGCAAGGTTCGGAACTTATAGATTGTATGGATATGTCAGAGTCTCTTTATAACACTTTAAATAGTGTTTTGAATAGCGTGAAGAATCACATCTCCGCCTGGCCATTTCTGGAACCAGTAGACAAGGACGAGGTTCCAGATTACTATGATCATATAAAATATCCAATGGGTGAGCACATAGAAGCTATAAAACATTTTTAAATCATCAAAGTAGTTTTTAATAATAAAATATTAAATATAAATTAAAAAAAAAATATTAAAATGGAAAACTTAATAATAAATCAGGAACTAACACACGATTTTTTACATTGCAGATCTCAAGACTATGGACGAGCGTTTGAAGTCTAAATACTGTGTAACTAGAAGATTATTTATTGCTGACATGACATGAATTTTTACAAATTGTAGATTGTACAATAGTCTTGAAACCGATTATTATCGTTGCGCCAATGCTCTAGAAAAATACTTTCAGACACGTATGAAAGAAATTGGACTATGGGACAAATAGAATTTTTTGTATCAGATAATATAAAAAAAGACCAAAAAATAATAATTTGTTGTTTATTATTTATTCCTCCATTAGCTACTTAGGACAGTTGCCGAAAGTTGGCTAAAAAAAATAGCTACATCAAAATTTTTTCTTCGCTTGTGAAATTTTTGAATTTAAAATTTGATACTGCATATGTAAATCTAATATAATAAAAATTCAGATTTCACAGAAATTCGTTTATATTAGAGTGAATTTAAATCCATATGGCAAAGATTGAAAGAATACTTTAAA